GGGACGACCATCCTTTGAACATAGATGAAATATTGGATGAAACAAATCAATTAGATATTGGGCAATCTGTTAAAAATGTATGAGCTTGCATAAGGAAACAAAGACAGTTAATTATATTACTATTTAATGTGATTTTAGTGGTTAGCCTCCGAAGCGCTCATAAATAATCCCAAAATTGAAGCAACGCCAGATGGTCTACGTTTTAGTTTTAAACCAGTTTATAAAATTAAAGATGGCAAAAGTCTGCTAAGACTTCTTAAACAACATGACCTGAAAGGTTTGGGCGGCATACTGTTAGACGATGTGCAAGAGTCATTACCGCACTGCGAAAAAGTACTAAAAAATCGTGCTTCGGAAATAATATTCATAGTACGACCAATTGATAAAAAAAAAATATTATTCTACAATGATCGAACAGCGAATTTTATGGTAAGTTTGTTTGAACTAATGTGTTTTTTTTTTTGTTAAATTTAAGACGATGTTGCTTTGATTGCCGCAGGTGGATGAAGAGTTCCAAAAGCTGTGGCGTTCAGCAACCGTAGACGCCATGGATGACGCGAAAATTGATGAGTATCTTGAAAAACAAGGTGACTTTACTGAAAAAATCCGCTGTATAAGCATTTCTAATGTGTAAGTAATATTTTTCGCGCAGGTATACGTTCAATGCAAGATCATGGACCAAAGAAACCGGTACCGAAACGTAAGAAGGCTGCGAGCAAGAAACGGCAATTTAAGAAACCAAGAGATAATGAACATTTGGCTGACGTTTTGGAAACTTACGAAGACAATACATTAACACAAAAAGGCGTTAATCCGACGTGAAACAAGAATTTCGCAATTAATGTTTGTGTAATGTTGTGAATTTATATGAATATACTTTTAATATGCATGTGATGTTTGTTCTTATTACTTTGATATTGTTGGTGTTATGCTAATTAGCATTTAAGCCGTTATAGAGCAAATGGTAAAACAAAACCGGTTGTGTATACAAGCTTCAGCCCACTAAAAACGTTAAAAAAATATATAGGGCAACGGCTCAATTATTCCGCTTTCCACTACTCAAGTTACTTTCTAAAAAATTAGTTAATCCACTATTAAGTTGTTTTGAATTTTAACTCGCTGCTTTCATAATATTTTCTTACTCATAAACTTTTTCGCTTTTATTGTATTTTATTTGACTAATAACAGTTGACGGTCGTGCATAGTTCATGAAGGCTTTAAAACATTTACATGCGTACATACGCACATTTTGCTGTCTAAATCAGTCGGTAATAAATATTATGTCAAGAAAGTATAATTCTTAAAACCGATAAGCGCCTGCGCTACACAGTATTAACACAGAAGGAAAACAAAAATATTAAAAATCGAATATCCCTGAATGTGATTGTATTGCAGAGGCAATTAACCAAAAACCAGCCAAACAAGCTATAGTGTATTGTTATCGCTTTAGTTGTGTTTCCACTTCAGTCACATTGCACTGTCCAAGTGTGGGTGAATATTTTAGTTATCTTTATTACGTTGTTTGTTCGTTTTCTGTGTTTTGTCTATTATTATAAGTGCCACAAGCAATGCCATATTTAAATTGGCTCACACATTTGCAGTCATTTCACGCGTAAACGTCGCCGAGACCTGGTCGAAAACTTTGTAACTACAGTCATTAACCAAGCGAACAAATCGAATATGGAGGTGCTAGCACCATTATTGATGGTACTTGCCTTGATTGTGCAACGCTCCTGTTCGGCCAGCGATGAGTAAGTATTCTCCTGTTTACCGCATACATAAAGGATCTTTTTTGACTTTTGCTAAAACTTACTGTGACTTACTGTACCGTGACAATAAAATTTACTAATTAATTTCAGTCTTATATACGGTTACGAGTGTCAGCAGAGTAGATGTGTCAAAATTGAACTAGATGCTCAGAACTTCCAAAAGGCCATAAGTCTACCGGTGTGTCGCCTGTTCTGTGGCGATGGAGTACCCGGCACCATTTGGCCACGTCCAAATGGACTTGTTAATTTTGATAATTACATGTTAACAATTGATCCCGACAATATACAATTTAATTTGCCGACTTTGAGCAAACAAGCTCATCTCTGGGCTGCCAGCAAAGAACGTTTTATTCAAATGCTCTACGCAGGCGTGCCGAATAAGAATGTGTTGAGAAAAGGTGGCCGTCCATTAACAGTGACAGTGGAATTGCAATCGACCTTAGATGATGTTGTGCCCAAGTTAACTTTAGACACCGACGAAAGTTATACGCTACAAATTAGCTCAAGCAATAATAGTGCGGCCACGGCTACAATTATAGCCGGCAATTATTTCGGCGCACGACACGGTCTTGAGACTTTATCTCAAGTACTCATTTACGACGATATTCGACGTGAGTTACAAATATTGGCTCGTGCTGATATTGACGATAAACCAGCATTCAAGTGGCGCGGTTTGCTTTTAGATACATCGCGTAATTTTTTCAGCGTGAAGTCAATAAAACATACGCTAGGTAAGTGTTATGACTAATGATAAACCCTGGACAGAGGTCCGTCTGTCTGTATATACGTAAACTAGTCCCTTAGTTTTTGAGATATTGATCTCAAAGTTTTGAACTTGTCCTTTTCTCCCCAAAAAGCAGCTTATTTGTCTGAACAACCGATATCGGACCACTATAGTATATAATTGTTAGACAAATTGAATGGTCGGAATCAAGTTCTTGTATGGAACACTTTTTTATTTGACGAGATATCTTCGATTCGGTATCCGGTTCGGATCAGACCACTATACTATATAGCTGCCACATAAACTTAGCGATCAAAATGAAAGTCCTTGTATGGAAAACTCTTTTATTTGACTAGACGATTTGGCAGAGATTATTTTCCAAGCAACGCAACAATTTTTGAACAACTTATTGAAACTGGACCACTATAGCAAACTATACAAATTGACAGATCAAAATCAAGATAAGGATATTTTATAGACACGCAGCTGCAAAGTGTATTATAGCTTCGAATGTACCGAAGTTAATGTTTTTTCTTGTTTTAATTAAATACTTTTATGGCAGATGCTATGGCCGTGGTGAAATTGAACACATTCCACTGGCATATTACTGACTCGCACAGCTTTCCACTGGAAGTTAAATCACAACCGGAACTGTATAAATTAGGCGCCTATTCACCGCGTAAGGTTTATAGTCATGAAGATATTGCAGATATTGTGGAATATGGGCGTGTGCGTGGCATACGTGTGATGCCGGAATTCGATGCACCGGCGCATGTCGGTGAGGGCTGGCAACATAAGGATACGATTGCTTGTTTCAATGCGCAGCCATGGAAAAATTATTGTGTGGAGCCACCGTGTGGTCAATTAGATCCCACGGTTGAAGATTTATATACAATTTTAGAGGATATTTATCGTGAAATGTTCGAACTCTTCGATCCCGATGTATTTCATATGGGTGGCGATGAAGTGTCTGTTGATTGTTGGAATAGCACCAAGCGCATACAAGACTGGATGCTCCAGAAGGGTTGGGGCTTAAAAGAATCTGATTTTATGCGTTTGTGGGCACATTTTCAAACCGAGGCACTAAACCGCGTCGATACCATTACACACTCGCAACAACCGTCCATCACACTGTGGACTAGCCGTCTCACTGATGTACCGTACATCGATGATTACTTGAATAAGGAACGCTATAACATACAAATATGGACTACAGGAGATGACAGCAAAATTAAAGATATCCTAAAACGTGGTTATCGTGTTATAATATCAAATTATGATGCGCTCTATTTCGATTGTGGTGGTCCTGGATGGGTGCAAGGCGGCAACAATTGGTGTTCACCTTATATTGGCTGGCAGAAGGTGTATGACAACGATTTGGACAACATTGCTGGTGAATACAAGTCTCAAGTTTTGGGCGGAGAGGCAGTTATTTGGTCGGAACAAATTGACGAGCATACTTTGGATTCACGTTTCTGGCCACGAGCTAGCGCTTTAGCGGAACGTTTGTGGTCGAATCCGAAGCAGTCGTGGCGTTCGGCTGAAGCTCGTTTGCTCTATCATCGGCAACGTTTGTCAGAATTGGGTATAGGCGCGGAATCAATGCAACCAGAGTGGTGCTTACAGAATGAAAATAATTGTCCTATAGATGCTTACGATCAAAAATTTTGAATCTAAAAATAATACTACTCTTACTTGTGATCGTATCAGTACTGATATTAGGTCTGTTTGATGTAGAATATCCCGCAGCAAATCATAGTAATTTCGGAGAAATGTCAACTTTTCGTGTATAGAAAAATATCTAATAATAATAACTTATTATTTGGGATATATTACGAAATACATTCTAAAATACGTAATTTATGCACTAAACGTTATTCGATATTATATTGTATAACAAACACACCTATTATCTGTACTTGTAACTGTACTATGTCTTTTTAAAATGTATATGTGAGAGTTGTTAATAAAAATTATGATTTTTTTGGATACAACTTCTAAATTGACTTAATATGATGAAATGAAAGTCTTAGACCGGAAATGCATATGCAGATTTCCGGTATTAGAAAAACGAATTATGTGAATGCATTTCGTTTATGTAGTTGATATTAACGAAAAATTTAATATTTCTACAAGATTAGAGAAATATATCGGCCTATTTTTGGGGAATATTAATGCTTTTAATCTTACTACTCATAACATTCAGATGATTTCAATTTATGTACCAAATCGTTATTTTTTTCCTTAAATGAAACTAAAGCTTCGTTTCTGCATATGTTATAAAGAGACGTAGCTTTTGAGATACAAATTCGTTAGTCTAGTTTAGAAATATTTAATAAAGAAAGATGTAAGTGTGTAAACTATGCCTTTAACTTAAATATGGATAATATGACCCACTTATATAGTTAAGTGATTAGTCTATAGATGCTATCCCTCATTTACTCGTTTCAGTCTTCCTAATTTTGACCGAATTCGTATACTAGACTGCCAATAAGAATAAATACATTCTGCATTAGAAGAGCTACCAATTGTCCTTTTTATCTAGTCAGTAAGGAATAAGAAGCAATCAATAAGTTATCAAGTGACAAAGTTCATTAACTTTATTGTTATTTTGTCTACCACTATGTGATTGCTTTTGTAAACAAAGCAAATGTATGGAGTTATCTATAATCGGAGTACACATACCAGAAACCCAGAAATTAGGCTTGATATTTTTTACAAGCTGTCTCTTAGGTGAAAATTTCCGAATATATTTCAATATAGTAGTTTTCGGTAAAATTCGCAAAAAAAAATTTAAATTCTGACAGATGAAAGTATTCCCATCTTCTGCATTTTTATTTTTTAAGTAAGAAGTATTAATAATATTTTTGTAGTTGATTAGCAGATCTTAATGTTCACATATTTTTGTAGTTAATCCGAAAAACCATTCAATTGACAAAAGATTGGATAAACTGCGAGTCTTAATGGAAGAGTATGGTCCGCTTTAGAATATCTATATGAACATACATACATACGTCGGATTGTAATGGAAATAGTTAAAAAAATATCCCATTAATTTTTACATTTTACAGTAAAATGTCGTAAAGTATGCAATACAAAATTATTTAATAAACTCGAAATCAATGATATGATCTCTAAAATAAGACTTTTATTGAAAATATTTTAAAATTTCGGGTGATGTATTTCTTAAATGAATAATTTAGATTCAGCATAAAAGAAACATTGCTTACTAAATCCATTTTTTAATGTAAAATTTTGACAATTATCATCCTAAACATATCGATAAAAAAGTATCAGTCATTGCAATGTTTCGATAAATTTCCAAAAATTCTTTCAACAGCAGACATTAAACAAAATAATAACACGTGCATTAACATCTATTGTTTTTCTTAAAATTTAAGCATATTAAATTTAAATAATGTCTTCTTCTGAAAGTGAAGATTCCAAGAGAGAGATGCAAACAGATGACGAGGAGCAGGAGGAACCAGATTTAGATGCTAGCGATACCGAATCTGATGAAGACGATGAGATGGATAATGAATCCCCCAAGAAACTATCGCTTGAGGAAAAGGTTGCAGAAGATATCACAAAAAAATATGCTGAACGTCAGGGCAAACAATTGTATATAAGATTCCCATATAAACTGCCCGAAGATGATGATGAGTTCCAGAAAGTGGCCAAAGCTTTATCTCCATTAATAGTGAAAGCACATAAGCCACGACAAAAGCATGCACGTTTTTGCTTGGTTGATTTCGATTCACGTGAAGATCGCGATACCGCCTTAAAAGCTATAAAAACAGCAACAAAAACGGGCGGCACAAAAGTAGTTGTCTCAATACCACGCACCGAGAGCGATGAATTTGTGCAAGAATTAGTACAACGTAAAGTGAATACGTTGGAAAAGAAAAAGGCTAAAGCGCGTTTGAGACGTGCTAGCAAATTAGCATTGCGTTCGAAGAATTTCACATCCTCCATTGTTATAACAAACTTACCACAAAGCGCCTCAGCGGGAGAAGTACGTAGATTATTCCCAAGTGCTGTCGATGTACATATAAAACCACGCAAAGGCAAACTGATCGCTTCCAGTATAGCGACGATCACGTTACCCTCAACAATGGAGGCGCGAGCAGCTATGAAAAAGAAACAATCATTAGGTGGAACAGAGCTCATTGTACGTTTCGATACACATCAAGCGAAAAAGAGCGGTGGTAAAGCGAAAAAAAATAACAAAAAGAAGTCTTCAAATTCTGAGTCTACAACGGATGGAATGAAAGTATATAATTAAATATAATTGTATTTGTAATTACAATATTTGCTGGTTTTATTGAAAGTTAATGGACATTACTTCTAAATTAACATAACATGATGAAGTAAAAGCCTTAGACCGGATTTATATGCATAAGGGGAAACCAATTTTGAGAATTAATTTCGTTCATGAAGTTGATATTAATGTGAAATTTAATATTTCTGAGGCATATATCGGCCTATTTTTTGGAAATATCAATTTAAGTGCCAAATTGTTATTTTTTCCTTAAATGAAACTGAAGCTTTATTTCTGCATACACATACATTCATAGAATAACGTGGAATATGTTATAAACAGACGTAGCTTTTGAGAAACAAATTCGTTTAATAAGCAAAAATGTAAGTGTGTAAACTATGCCTTTAACTTAAATATGAATATTATGACCCACTTATATATTTAGTGATTAGCCTGTAGATGCTCCTCCTGTAGATGCTTCCTCATTTACTCGTTCCAGTCTTCCTCATTTCGGCCAAATTTGTATACTAGGCTCCCAATAAGAATAAATACATTCTGCATTAGAAGAGCTACACCTGGCCAATTGTCCTTTTTATCTAGCAATTAAGGAATAAGAAATAATCAATAAGTTGTCATATGACAAAGTTCATTGACATTGTTGTTATTTTGGCTACCCAAAATATCTTTCGTATAAAATCTTTAGAACTATGTATGTTTTCGTGTAACTAAAAACTTACTGTTATTGATAAAGTCATCAATCATAACCCAGATTGCCGCTATTATCGAAGCAAATCCCATAACGAAACCAATAAGCAGATAAATTTTTGCAAGACGTGCTCCGGACTCGGATGTGTTTTCCTCCGAAATCTTTTAAATGGTATATAAAACAACAAATATAAAAGGAATTTATGAGGGATTACATGTATTACACACTTACATGCGAGTTCTTTACGGTGTTTACCATAAAGAAGCTGATTGTACCGAAAACTCCTATGAAAACATGTCCGGTGGTTATTTGTTTGTGGCTGTCTACTGACATAGCATCGATCAGAACCCACCAGCCAGAAAAAAACTAAAAAAAATATAAATAAATAAATTACACATATATTTATGCATAGATATGTATATATGTGATTGCTTTTGTAAACAAAGCAAATATATGGACTTTTTATAATCGAAGTACACATACCAGAAACCCAGAAATTAAGGCTGAATTTTTATTACGAGCTGTCTCTGAGGTGAACAATTCCTTTATATTTTCTAATATAGCCATTTTCAGTATACTAAATGTTTTATTTCTTATTCGATTCGCGAAAAATAATTTTTACTGTGAAAAATATGTTGACTAATTGCAAGTTATGCTGTCAAAACAATCAGAGTTGCATTTTTTTAATTACTACTTTTTCGTTGTCTTCTTTTGATAAATTTCATCCTTTGATCCATATATAATACACGAAATAAATAAAAAAGTGCTTTAGATTGAGTACAGAAAATAAAAAACCACTTAGGAACATTTGCTTACTAAATAATACAATTTATAACTTTAAATTATAACTCTACGATATCGATAATAAGCTACCAGTCATTGCAATGTTTCGATAAATTTTCGACAATTTCTTCATACGGGCGACGGTAAACAAAATACTCCTGCATTAACACCTATTGTTTTTCTTTAATTTTTAAGTCCGAAAGTGAAGAATCCGAGAGAGAGATGCAAACAGATGACGAGGGCAAGAGGAACCAGATTTAGATGCTAGCTTACCGAATATAATGAAGGTGATTAAGACGATTAGATGGATGATGAATCCCTCAAGAAACTAACGGGAAAGACGTTGCAGAAGATATCACAAAAAATATGCTGAACATCCGGGCAAATAATTGGATAGAATATTCACACATAAACTGCCCGAAGATGATGATGGGTTCCAGAAAATGGCCAAACCTTTATCTCGATTAATAGTGAAAGCCCATAAGCCACTACAAAAGCTAATAATCTAATCTAAAATCATGCACCTTTTTGCTTGTTTGATTTCGGTTCACGTGAACAGCAACAAAAATAGGTGGCACAAAAGTAGTTGCGCCCAAAGGTGGAGCGGTCGGCATTCATTTGTACAGTTTTGAGATCCAAACTCCAAACTTAGGAGAATTAAACAGGGGGTTCCGCAGGGTGATGTCCTCTCCCCACTACTGTTTAACTTCTACATTTCGAAACTCCCCCAACCACCAGCGGGAATTTCCGTGACCTCGTACGCTGATGACTGCACGATATTGACGTCGGGCAATGGCATCGATGGCATGTGCTTGAAGGTAATCAGCTTTCTCTCCGACCTTTCTCGCTTCTTCTCTGCAAGGAGTCTGACACTCTCCCCCACTAAATCCATAGCGACCATTTTCACAAACTGGACGCAGGAGTACAGACTGGATCTGAACATTTCAGTCTATGGCACCAAAACTCCGACAGTTAACAACCCTAAAATTTTAGGCGTTACATTAGACAGTCTGTGTTCCTTCACTCCTCATACGACCGCGATAACTGCCAAAGTTCAGAGCCGCAACAAAATCCTCAAGTCGCTTGCTGGCAGCTCTTGGGGAAAAGACAAAGAAACGTTGTTTAGCAGATATCTATATATATATAAATATTATCCAAAACAACGGTATAATCTGCGAAGAAATTGTTCAGATCGGACCGCTATACCATACAGCTGCCAAGCAAACTGAATGATTAAAATCAAGTTCTTGTATGGAAACTTTTTTATTTGTGAATAGTATTATATGTAGTTTCGGTGCGACCGATGTTAACGTTTTTTCTTGTTTTTAATATAGTTTAGCGCTTGCGATTTCCAACCTCTTTAACTTTTAACTTTCAGAAGCTAATCTACAAGTTTGTGATTCTTTAAATATAAAAGCAATTTAGTATTATATTGAAAGATTTATTCAAATCATAGCGTAAACCAAATACGAATAAAAGAAAATACTAATATACGGTAAATAGTTGTTGAATTACATCTTTTAAGCAAGAAGTTGTAAAATAATTACATCCATTATATAACACATTTTTTTGTATATATACATATGTCTGTATGTACTTGCAAATATTAATTTGTTTGTTTAACATTTATATGCTCCGATATTGTTTAGAATAAAATGCAATTAAGAGATTACATATGTATGTATTTCCGAATGAACATCTATTTTCTAAATTTATTTTTTTATTTAATTTTAATTAAACAAATCGTTTCACACTTTGCGTACGAGTAAGTCATAATTATTATTTTTATTTTTTTTCTTATCATTATAAACAATACACCGCCAATACGATATTTGATGTAAATTTAAAAAATCCTTCAATCGCGATAAACATACATACATTTGTATGCATTTACTGATGTTTGCAAAAACTTTCTGCTGCTCCGCACGGTTGCAAGGAAAGCACGAGCACACTTAGCAGCAAGTGCAATGTTTACATGACTTATGTGTGTATATAATATTTAATAAATGTTTGTGTATACACGCATTAAAAATCTTTACGAATATGCTGCTAGAATGATAATTTTATTTACCGCATACTTAGAACCGACGAGTGAACGAGTGAAAAATTTGTACAAGTCTTCGCTTCCCGATAACGCCCTATTTGTGTTCTATAGAACGCCATACTTATCAAACAGTCTCAAATACATAATGATTATTTATTTAAAAAGAGATAGACTTTATAAATATTTATGTATACCATATATCATTTCAAATAATGCACCGCAAATCTGTGTAGTTTAAATTACAATTTTTTCAGTTAATACGAGCAAATAAGCATTAGTTTAGAGCAGCACTATTTTAATATACAAATTACAACGTTTTGTTGTTAACGGTAAAGGTATTAGAATCTTTGTTCATTTGTTGTATTACATTATCGCCTTACAACATGTGTACATATTTTTGTCGTTGTGTTATTCATATACGAGTATGTAGTGCAGAAAAACGTTATCAATTATTGTTTGTTATTGCATATATATAGAAATGTAATATGAAGGGATAGAAGTCGCGATTTTTGCGTATTCGTAGCTTACTTTAGTTTAATCTTTCCACTTTTGTTTACAACTTTTTTATTTATTAATTATGTTTGCAGCAGCCGTTGTCTAACGGATGGTGAAGATGTTGGTGGTGCACCAGATGAATCCGTCGATGTTTGTTGCGTTGGTGGTGGTGAGCGCAACGGGAACGAGGGCTGTACGAAGCGTACACGTTCCACATCTATGGACGAATTCGGTGGCGCTGTATTAGCTGCTGCATTAAATGCCGATGTGAAAGCGGTGGCGGCTCAAAGGGTATGATAGTTACGTTCATTACGTGCCTTGTAGAATTTATAAGCGACCAAACTGATCGCTAAAATACCCAAAGTCAAAACAATGCCACCGATGAAGGATGGAAAGTCAAAGTGATTGCATGGTGGGCGGGGAGTTGGCGGAGCCGGTGTTGTTGTTGTTGTAGTAGTGGTGCTGCTGGTGGTTGAGTTGGTGGGAGGTGTTGTAGGTGGTGGAGTTGATGTGGTAGGTGGTGGAGTTGATGTGGTCGGTGGTGGAGTTGTTGTGGTAGGTGCCGGAGTTGGTGTTACAGTTGTGGAATTACTAGCGGGAGTGGTAGTGATTGGTATTGGTGTTACAGTTGTG